ACCATCATGGGCGGTATTGTACTTAGTGATAAGTACACCATCATGAAACTGTTGTTTTGTCTTTAACAGCAAACAAGAAAAAAAAAGTTAAAGACACCCCATGCACCCATGAAATAAAAACCAGAGCAAAGACACAAATGTTTACTGGCTGTGAGGGGCGATCTTCAATCTCGTTTAGGATGTTTAAGTTTACAGATAGAGCTCAGCTTGGCTGGCTAATCACCTCCTGCCTTATCATAGTGGCCTCCAGTAAACAATGCTGAGAACCAAGGTGAGACAGGCATCCATTTGAGTTAACAGAAAGGCACCAATACAAGATTAATCAGATGGTCCTGGTCCTTACTGCCGCACTGATTTAAAGTTACCTGTCTAAAAGACAAGCACGTCAGAAAACACAGCCAGACCACAGCTGCTCCCCATTAGCAAGCCAGTGCCTCAGAAAGGGTGACGGGAGCCCGGTTTCCTGTCACACCGTAAGGGTACGCCAGGCACACGTGGATAGGCTCGTATCAGAAAAAGATCCCACCTGCTTTACTTTTCTTTTTGCTTTTGGGACAAGGGATGTGCTCAGCGTGTTCTCTAACCACAGCTTAGATGTCACCTTTCAATACATAGCCTTCACAACGCTGCCTTCAGGAAAGGTAGGGTAAACAGATATTTGGTGCCCGTGTGCCAACTGCCGTCTTCTGCTACATAGGCGGGGTGGTGGCTGAATTGGTGGGCTCCCTTCACGCCTTACATGGGAGCTCACCTGGTACAAGCGAGAGCCAGAGAGTTACACCCACTCTCCTTTGTGTGAGACCATTTAGCCAACAAACAGGACTCAGCATTGTCTTACTATCTTGTCTTCGACTCAGACCTGGGGAACTGTCTTGAAGAAAAAGTCTTTTCCAGTGTTGAAATGGCACCCATGAATCTGTGCATGCTAGGCTCTACCACTGAGCTACCCAGACCCCTGAATAGGCTTTCAGACATAAGGGCCCTGGGAAAATGTAGGCCTGAAGAGGAAAACGTCCACCTCTGGTTTTCTGAAGGCCATCTGAACACTTACTGGAAAGCATTTTAAATAGAGATACAGCTGTCAAAGAGAAAGCAACAATTTACATGCCCGAAGCAGCAGGCAGAACGGAGGAAAAGAGGTGCTCCGATGATTAATTACCCTCACTCCAACGCCCCCCACTCTGGTCTCTCACTCAGTGTTCAACATACTTGCCAATTAGTAACTGGTGAATCACCCTCCACTTGCTCCATTCCCTCTCCAAGTCTGTATGTAGTGATTGATACGTACTTAAATATGAACTTATATAGTGGTATTTTGGGGGGACAGAGTGGTGCTGTAGTATTTTAGCAGCAAAACTGTCAAGTTTAGGAAACTTTAAAAACCACTTTTAACTGTCATAACATAGAATCCGGAAATAATGGGACCATTTTCAGTCTCTTCAAGAATGGATGGGGAGAAATATAAAGACTGCAATTTTGTACTGAATCAGGGAACAGATGAAGATTCTGTAGAGGAGCCCTCAAAACTCTGCGTCTGGGCACAAATGCAACTGTTTTCGTAACTATTACTGCTGTTCTCTGTGTGTGCATGTAAGCGTAGCTGAACTTGTTTGGAGGTGACGTAGTCTAAGTATCTTCCTCTACTCCTTCCACCTGTGAGACAGGGTTTCTCACTGACTTAACTAGCCTGGCTGGCCAGTGAGCTTCCGAGATCTGCCTGTCTCCACCCACTAGTGTCAGGCTTTCCCACGAGGTCCTCTGTAACAGGCTCATTGTTGACCGAGCCACCTCAGCCCTCAACTACTTCCTCCTTGAACGAGGAAAGGTGTGAGACAGGAGATGGATGGCTGCAGGTTCAGGCGGAGCTTTCTCTAAGATGCTGGAGAACACACAGCCTGCTCACATGCAAAAGCAGCTCTCAAGCCATATGAAATTATCCCTTTTTATCTCAAACAAACCTCTTTTTTCACTCCAGTAATCGTTCTGTAGAAGTAACTCTTCCAACCTTAAACACTGTGCCCAGAGTTGTGAACTACACTTCTGTTTATCAATGAGGTCCAAACCTGGGCGCTGACGTCAGAGCTAGTTAGAGAAGCCCCCAGAATCCGAATGTGGCATCCTCTACCCCTCAGCCTGCCTCTGGTACCCAGACCTTCAGCTCAGAACCTGAGCACCTGTGGAGTGCTCTGGGCAGTACTGCCTTTTCAAAGTGTAGCAAGGTCTCATGCCAGATGAAGCACAGAAGAAATTCTTAGAAACATGTAAGAAAGGTGGGCGGGAGATGGGAGCTAATCTTTAGGAAGGTAGGCTACACAAGCACAGCTTGCCTGCATGAGCCCATTCTTCAAGGGAAAGCACAGCACAAGCTGTGACAACATTGAACTTAGAAGGTCGCCTGTGGTGGCAATATGGCACTTGATGCAGGCTTTAACGTTAGGGCGAGTTAGGGAAAGTGTTTATTCATCTGAGAAGACTTAAAAAAGTCAGACAGCATCTGCTTTGACAGTCTATACTGCAGAAGCTTTCAGAGGCCCTCTGTGGCAGGTTTCAAGGTTGTTTCCTGTTTTCTTCTGGCTTTCAGAGGCCCTCTGTAGCAGGTTCTGAGGTTGTTTCCTATCTTCTTTTTCTTCTGCTGTCTATCCTTTTTGCCTTTCAGGATGGGGATTGAACATTTTAGTTAGGGTACTCTCTTTTGCTTAGTTTGTTTAGATGTACAGATTTTAGTGGGTTTATTCTATATTGTATGTTTATATGAGTGAGTATATACCATGCATGTCTTTTTGCTTCTGGGACAACTCACTCAGGATGATCCTTTCCAGGTCCCACCATTTACCTGCAAATTTCATGATTTCCTTATTTTTCATTGCTGAGTAATACTCCATTGTATAGATGTACCACAGTTTCTGCATCCATTCTTCAGTTGAGGGGCATCTGGGTTGTTTCCAGCTTCTGGCTATTACAAATAAAGCTGCTACAAACATGGTTGAGCAAATGTCCTTTTTGTGTACTTGCGCCTCTTTTGGGTATATGCCTAGGAGTGGTATGGCTGAGCCTGATGGCCAACTGATGGGCAGAGTGAATGGAATTTTATGTAAGAAGTGGGAAATAGTAAGAGCTGGAGGGGACGAGAACTCCACAAGGAGAGCAACAGAACAAGATAATTTGAACACAGGGAACTTCCCAGAGACTCATACTCCAACCAAGGACTATTCGTGGAGATGACTTGGAACAGGTGTAGCCCATGGCAGTTCAGTGTCCAAGTGGGTTACATAGCAATGGGAAGAGGGACTGCCTCTGACATAATCTGATTGGCCTGCTCGTTGATCACCTCCCCCTGAGGGGGGAGCAGCCTTAACAGGCCACGGTAGAGGACAGTGCAGCCACTTTTGATGAGAACTGATAGACTAAGATCAGAAAGGAGAGGAGAACCTCCCCTATCAGTGGACTTGGGGAGGGGCTTGCATGCAGAAAGGGGAGGGAGGGTGGGATCAGGAGGGGAGGAGGGAGGGGCTTATGGGGGGATACAAAATGAATAAAGTGTAATTAATAAAAAATTAAAAAAAAAAGTCAGACAGGCACTGGTGGCACACACCTCTAATACCAGCACTCGGGAGGCAGAGGCAAGCAATCTTGGTTTGTTCAAGGCCAGCCTGGTCTATAGAGTGACTTCCAGGACAGCCAAAGTTACACAGAGAAACCCTGTCTTGAAAAACAGACAAATAAAAAAACAAAACAAAACAAAAAAGTTAGTACTCAGCTTTTTGCTTTGAAAAAAGCAAACAACAGCAAAAAACTCTCAGTAGTTACTGATCCACTGTCTATACGGTGCTTGATGAACTCACTGCAGGTGCGGTGGTTTGAAATGAGAGTGGCTCCCACAGGCTCATATATTTGAATATTTGGTTTACCAGTTGGTGGAACTGTTTGGGAAAGATTAGAAGGAGGTATGTTTTGAGGGGCAGGCTTTGAGTTTCAAAAGCCCACACCATTTTCAGCTAGCTCTCTCCGCTTCATCCTTGTATCTCAAGATGTGACTGAACCTCAGCCACTGCTCTAACACCATGCCTACCAGCCACCATGCTCCCCTCCCTGACAGCCATGGGTTCAACCTCTAAAACCGTAAGCCCCAAATAAACATTTCTTTTATATGTTACCTAGGTCATGGTGTCTTATCCCAGCAACGTGAAAGAACTAAGAAAGCAGGCCTTCTTTTCGGAAGCTGATCAGGGAGCAGCAGACACATAAGCCATTGGGTCACATTTCAAACTCCCAATGGAGACCATACAAATACAGAGGGAGAACTGAGAGCCCGCTTGGTGCGTGGAGAGGAAGGAGGAGGGTGCCCTGGAACTGTGGGAGTCGGCAGTTTCCCATCGGTGATGAGAGGGTTGTCACCACCTACAATACAGCATGGCGAGACACAGCACAGTAGGACGACGACACTGTGGCAGGACACACAGAGTTCGCCCACTTGCAAGCCACAAAATGAGCAAGAACACAACCCCTGGGATTCCTAAGTGGCCTCTGGCAAACAATAAAGACACGGACTTAACACACACACACACACACACACACACACAGACATACAGACACACACAGACACACAGACACAGACACACACACACACACACACACACACACACACACACACACACACACA